TCAGCTTTAAGTGTCCTCCACCGCCCCACCTCCCTCCCAACATACACAGTCTGAGTGCTTCTTCGTCTGTCTCTAATTTTCTTTCGTATCTTTCGAACTGGAGTGGCTATTTTCTTTCGTCCCCTTTTGTCGCTCTCCTCTTCAGACTTGACGCGCGTCTGAGCCATGTTTGCTGTTTTGGCGCCAAATAGTAACATCCGGGTCTCAGCCGTAGTACTTCATTCATAGTAAACCGCGAGACTTAGCGAGAAATTGCGCGTTCTGAAGCCGTACTGTGAGGTGGTAGCTGAGTATTTAAGACGAGTCGTCTTTTATTATTTAATGGAACTTAAAAACGGTATTAGGTAGCTTCATTTTCTGAACGGTTTTGGATAGGATATACCTTGGTCATTATGGGGAAATTGGTGAGATTTCCAGGAAAATTCATTTTCGTGCTATTTTAAGGGTTTAACGCGCTGAGACTGTCTTTAATGAACTAAATTAAATTGATTTGAATCCGTCTATCAGGGCCCAGTTTCATCAACGTTGGATGAAATTGTTATTCTCTGGACACTTATCCTGTAGATTAAATAATGATTTCTTATCCCTAGACACTTAATATTGCAACGCTCTTGACATCATCTTACATAATGAGTAAAAATTTGAAGGCTTTTTATAGTAACATGCATACTTCCTCAATTCTTTTCTTCTTTTTTTGTAGGAAATTAAAACTCTCTGTACCTTTTGCATCCAGTTCTTTCACCACTTCGCTCATCAAATCTTGGTAAAAAGATTCACCTCGCTCCACAATGGATACATCAAGCCGTTGGTATATTTTCTCAAATTCTAAAAAACATAAAAAACTTGCATCTACACTAATTTTTTATTTTGATAAAATTGTAACCAAGGATTTGTATATCTAAACCAACATACCCTCCACACAGAGAAATTCGGGTTTAAAAGTTTTTTTTTAACCTCCTGAATAAACTATGCATATGTACGTGTGTGCATATGTGCATGTATGACTGTTTAACCCAATCATGTTTGTGTTCAGTCTCATCACATCTTCTATTCTTCGTGCGTGTGTGTGTGTGTGTGTGTGTGTGTGTGTGTGTGTGTGTGTGTGTGTGCGCACATGTGTGTAAGTGTGGTAAGTCTCCACATACCCATCCTGGATACATCACATATCAAGTTCCATCCTTTGAGAGAGTCAGGTTCATGGGCCTGGAGGCTGACAACAGCTGCATATGCACGCTTTTTGAACTCTTCGTCATTGTCAAAACGAACCTTGGATTCCTACACAGGGAGAATACTCATGGTTTTTATATGACATATAATGCAAAAAAACTATGTTACAGTAACAGTAACTGACTTAAACAATTTCATGTCGTATGTTATCTACAGTTAGGTTTAGCATAACATGCATGACTGTAATTTTTTTTTATGAGAAATGTGGAATGTTTTTCTTTTAAGACTTAAGTGTACTGCCTGAAAACTACATGCACATTAAGCAAATTTTCGAGTGACTTAAAAAGACTCTCCAGTGTCAAGGGGCCTAGTTATGCAGATTCTTCTTCAGTTAAACCAGAACTTTAAAAAAAGTCTCTATGGCACTATCTCAAGGTTTTTTTATATATAAAAAAGAAATTGTTATTATTGAGAAACTTTTCTGCAGTGAATTAAGAGAAGTGGTTTGTACAAAATTTCATATTAAAATCACCGGAGACCCAATTTTAATTTCTCAATCAAATTCACCTTGTAGAAGGCCTGCAGATCCCCAATAGGTGGCGACACTGTCAGGTAGTTTGGGAACTTGTCTTTGAGGTGTGCAATCAGCATCCCAAACTGTGTCCCCCAGTCTCCTATATGATTCAACCTCAGAACATCGTGCTCTAGAAATTCACACAGACGGCAGATGCTCTCACCAATAATGGTGGACCTAACGAAATGAGATATTCAAAATCGTTATACTGTGCCTAAATTAAAATATTTTAGATACAAGTCTTGAATTGGTGATTTACATCATTTAGCCTCCTAAAATTTACTGATGTGACACTTGAAAAATGAAGACTATATATGCACTAGCCATCTAATACTAGGGTAGGTGGAAATTATGATTTGGGAAATAATCATAGGAAATCACAGAAAGTTCTACAAAAAAAAGGGAACTTCATTATCAAAGATCCTACATGAATGCATACCTTAGATGTCCAACATGCATTTCCTTGGCAATGTTTGGTGAAGAGAAATCAACCACTACTCGCTTCTTTGCTGCTATAACAGGAGGACGCACTCCTTTGCCTAGCAAATCTCTCAGTTGCACCGATATGAAATCCTTCTTCAGATGAACATTAATAAAGCCTGGTCCCGCAATTTCAGTCTGCGTGATACAAAAAAGGGGATATCATTTGTCTTGTGAATGTGTATGAATGAGTTTTAACTTAAAAAATTACGAAAAGTTCATGCTGAGACTGCAATAATTTCCTGGCATTCCCTTATAACAGGAGTATTAGGCCCATTTCTGATCACATCCAGTGGTCCACTCAAAGTGATGCAGTACTAGTAGGTGCCAGTATACTTTGAGAGATTGACAAATTATACAGTTATGTACAACAGGGACAAAACTGTCATTTAGTAAAAAAGACTGAAAATATGGCATGGGGTTGATATTTATGGTTCCAAAAATTATCCAAATTTTACCAATAGTTGGAAATATTTCATTAATGGTGCAAGTAATAGAGTCGGCCATATGTCACCCACAATCTTCTTCAGGGGCAGTAATAGGATTATTTGAAGTGGAGTCTGGAATGACAGGCCTCGGATGCGAAGCCGACCATTGCCCCCTTGGTGTAGTTTTTTTGGTGTTTTGGAGAGCAACCAGTGCCCTTTGGTACGGTTTAGAACTTTGATTTAGCTAGTCAAAATTCTAATTTCCAGAAGGGAATATTGGTTTGATATATTTTTCAGAAACCAAAGGGGGGGAGGGGGGTCAGGACCCCTCCTGACCCCCCCTCCCCCCCCCCCCCCCCATACCCCCCCCCCCCCCCACACACACACACACACACACTTTANAAAATTTTAATTTCCAAAAGGGAATTTTGGTTTTATATTTTTTTCAGAAGCCAAAGGGGGGGGGGGGGGCGGGCCCCCCCTGCCCCCCCCCCCCCCCCCCCTCTTAATCCGCCACTGTTCTTATTACAAGACGGACACACCACTTCATTGCCAGCAAGGTGCATGTGACATCAACTAGTGCATTGCACTAATAAGAAAAATTCACATTCACCTCGCGGACTCTTGGGGCACGTAAATACATAAAGCTTACCTTATCTATGAGCTCGTTCTCAGGCAGTTTACCAACTATAGCCTGAGCTATATCCCTGGGGGAAGCCTTCTGACCCTGGGACTTCAGTATCTGAAGATCAAGAAGATCAATCTTATATACTGTATATCCTTTGTCATAATATTATTGATTGCCATGGTGTGAATTTATTAGATATTCAATGTTTCAGTTCTCTGTCTTGGTTTTTTAGTAAGCTTTGTCAGAAACAAATAAAATTTTCAGCTGATACAAAGGGCTACTTATATTAAAATGCAAATTCCAATTTAAAAACTTCACCAATTAGAGAGCGAGAGAGAGAGAGAGAGAGAGAGGGAGAGAGAGGTCAGTAAGTCTAATTTTGTAAACTCACAGTCAGGTCTCATGCATTGCAGGTCATGTGAAAAAGCACAAGAAAGTGTGTCAGTATATATTGTTTGTGGTTTTAAGGAATAAATACATCATTTCTTATTGAACAAAAATCACGTATGCTACCTGTGCTATACCCATGGCACTGTTGCATTGATAGTCCCCAAACTTCTCATTAGTGCTCACAGTGACCACCAGGGGTGGGTTGGCAAGATCAGGATAAGCCTGGTTGATAGCTTGCTTGAAGATATCCTGAAGGATACTGGCTATGCTCAGCATGTTGTTGGATGATTTAGACTTCTCTGCAGCAATATTCTGTAAGGTAAATGGTAGTCATGACTGTGATAAGTGCAACACAATTAGGATGAGTCAATAAATTGTCAACATCTTCTCTATAGCACTGGCATCCATAGGCAAATACAAGCAAACAGCAATGTAAAAAAATATATATATAAAATAATTTTTCAAAATTTCCCCACAAATTAATAACAGAACAAAATGATAAAGAATACGAAAAAGTCAGCTGAATACAGGGACTACTACTGTGGACTTGACCATTACAAACATTAAAAAATTATACCTCAATGAAAAAATCACTTCTAAGCCAAAATTATTTGGAAGAAAAATATAATATGACATCAAAAATATCTACTTACTCGCTTCAAATGTACAATCTGGAACTTAAGTTTAGCATTCTCTGTCCTAAGTTTGTCCAACTCTGGTGTGACCGAGTCCTCTGCAATCAGCCTCTCTGGGTCCTTCAACCTGGCAATCTCCGACTCCAGTGATGCAATCTCTTTCTCCTGTAATGTAAATTTTCCTGTTAATAACTGGACACAAGACATAAACACTGGACCAATGACATATGATCTTATTGAAAAGTGAAGACAGGCCAGTAAAATCAGGCTCATAGCCAGCAATTTCTGAAAAAGTGGACTTTTTAGTGTGCAACTTTTGTGAGCCTAGATCAAATTTGGCCCAGAGCAGACAAAAGGCTGGTTCATTCTAATCCCTCAAACCCCCCCCCCAACCCCCCCCCCCCCCCTTACAGACTGGCGAACTTGAAACTTTGTTCAGTTACTAGTGTCCACTTCTACTTTGGATCAATATGTGTAGCTTAACCCAATAAATAAAGAATAAAAAATTATTTCTGTATAAAAGGGGGTGGGCACATGAGGGATAAGGGAGATAAGAATGAAATCTACTCCTTGAATTATCCTATTTGTATGACCAATTTTAAGCAAGTCGTCAAAGCAAACTTCCATGTGCTCAGTTTGACATTTAGAAATGGTATATATGGAAGTAAATGTCACTCATAAAAATTGACTCAGTTTCAAAGTAATTTATCTCTTATATGGTATTAGTGTAAGACAGGCATGGGTTTAGTGACTCTGATAAAATGATAGAAAAAAAATATATATATATACTGGTATACATGTATATTTATATATTTATATAAAAAGAGTACATACCAAAATGTAAAAATTCTACAGTAAATAATTCATACATCATTTGAAACACCTTTCATGTCATACAACCAGGTTGGATTTGATCAGCTTAAATGTCAAGAAATTCCACTAGATAAAAAAAAGTTTACTTTCGTTACCGATTTCTGATGCAATAGTCGGTAAGAAAACAATTAGTTTCATTTCATTATCATGTTTGTTACTGGAATGATTATTTGCACGATTAAACAACAGAATAAACATCAATGTGTAATGTCTAACAGCCTAAAAATGCCAAACATTACACAGATTTGTAATTGTCTTGGCAAATTGAACAAAATTACTCGAAAGCATTGACACTGACAACCAACAATGTAAAACATATGCGGTGCATTGGGGCATACCGGTAAGTTTATATCGCGTCACTACTTTTACCAGTGGGTGTAATAAGATCCATAGATTAATATTTAAGATCAACTACTGCTTTTATTAAATTTACTTCATGATCACTGCTATAAATGACTGTTTTTCTGTCATATTTACCGCTTTCTCTGCACGAGCAAGAAACTCATCCATGTTGATGTCGCGTGGAACGGAAGTGAGAGACCGCACTTGCGCAGATAGTAAAAACAATGGCCGCTTCCATGCTAGAGGTAAAAAAAGATAGGTTCTAACAAAATGCAGTTTATTCTTGTATATCTAGAACTCATTAGTGAACATAATGCCAAACAATCTTTTAAAACCAATAGTTAGTGTTAAGGTTAACATTGGCGTCTGATTTTAAAGGTTTAAAAAGCGAAAATAATGAAATTATTCACAGTTCTGGGACGGCTCTCTGACTTGATCAGCTGATGTGTAGCACGAGTTTGGAAAGATTTTCAGTTTTTAAGCGTGCTGAAAAAAAAAAGCATGTGTACTCTGGTTTGGAGTGAAATTCCTCTATATTCACTCAGCATAGAGACCAGTCTTTGCATGATTAACTTAAGTACAACTACAAGACGCACTGCAATTCAGTTACAGTATGTTCTTTTCTTTCTTTGCCATTGGCACTGGCATTCATTTCTATTTTATCTGTCTGCTGAGTGTTAAATAAAGTTAAAAGCTATGCATTCTTGAAACTTCAATAAAGTATGATGATATATTGAGATTAAACATGATGCATTGAATCTTTATTTTTTAGATTCTGGTAGTGAATAAAACAACTTGACACATATACTGTATACACCGTCATCTTGGGACCAGTTTATAAACCCCCCAGTACCAGCACTGGTCATTACAGTGCACCACATAACCGTCGTCAAGATGACTGCCCCAAGCATCTGTAGTGACACAACAGAAGCAGTGGACTTGTTTGAACCTCAGGGACTCTACCTCAAACCCATTGCAAGGATAAATGTCAGTGTACAACTGCCTCAGCTTAAGTCACCAGGTGAGTGCAGCCCAGATGTATTGAAACTTTTTACATGGAATGAATGTCCTAATTAAACTTGTAAAAATTTAGTATGCTTAATTCAACTGTGGGCCCAAAATAGGAGATTACATGTTCAACTTCTCGTGCATAACACAATTCAAAGGTTCCATGGTACGTGTCAGATTTATGCAAGGTTGCATAAAGAAAACCCAAGTCCACATAATGACCAGTTAAACAATTTATTCGTCAATGCTCAGTAACTACATATTCTAACTAAAGTGTCCAACCCTTAGCTCTCCAAAATCATGTCCGTCTTCTCAGTGCTCCAAGTGATTCCCACCAAACTGGTGTTTCTATAGACTTTTTATATCAGTGTTGTACATATTAACTCACTGCTACATAAATTTAAAGCCAGGCACCTAGATTTGCAGCCCATATCCTATAGTAGCATTAAATTTATTACTAGTAATTGAAGGAGGCATTGTAGTATTAGGAAAAATTTAATATCTAGAAGTTAAACACAATAGGTCAAAGGAGATGGATACATTTCAATGTCTGTTTTGTCCTCTATTTCAGGAAAGTCTATATCGAACTGGGAAGTAATGGAAAAGGTCAAAGGTATGGTTAAACCTCACCAGTTCGTCACCCTTAAGGTAGCCAAAAGCACCTTGGATTTCATTCGTTTTGAAGGAGAAACGGAAAACAAGGCCCTCATTAAAACTCTAATTGATAGGCTTGATGGGAAGACTATTAAACTGGTGGGCTTCCCAGATCAACTCAAGGTCCGTGCGGCAGAGGCGAAACTGAATTTTCCGTCCAGGCATGATTGGGACTCCTTTTTCCGCGATGCCAAAAACATGAACGAAATGAAATTTGGAGAGAGACCTGACACGATTCATTTTAAGGAACTGCCATGTAGGTGGTTCGCTAATAAGAAAGACGAGAATAAGGACAAACCCAGTGAGTATATTCTCAAGAAAGTGATGGAGACTTTTGGGGAGGTCCGTTGTGTTGATATACCCATGTTGGACCCCTATCGCAGGGAAATGTCCAACAAAGCAGGCATACAGACTTTTTCCTTCGGGCAGGATATCACATTTGAAGCCTTTGTACAGTATAAGGAGTATATTGGATTTGTAAAAGCCATGACAGCCTTCAGAGGAATGAAGTTATTGTACAAAGAAGGGGATGGAAAAGCTTACACTGCCAATTCTAAGGTGTGGTAGTTGTTCAGTATCCACATGAGTCAGTTTATGAAACAACTCAAACTCTTTGAGTTATGATAAAATTTATTGATTATAGTATATATACATTATCCAAGCCCATATACCTTGCAGTATATTAGAGTAAATTCTGAAAACTGTCATATTGGTGTGATCCAGTGGAAAGATATAATGAGCATGGGAAATTACTATCTTTAAAATTTCATTTATTAATTTACTTTCAGATTGATTTTGACAGGACCAAACACTTAACGGACAAAAACATAAGGAAAAGAAGGATAGAAAGAGACAAGTTAGAACAGTTAGAAAGAGAAAGAGAAGAAAAAGTTAGAAAAGAACGAGAGGAAGAAGAACGAAAAAAAGAAGAAGAAAGGTATTGGTTTTGTTTCACATAAGATCTCATTTTGTACATCTCATGTTATTTAAGCCTACTTGTTGTGGGGCACATTTTTTTCTGAATTGAAATTTCACTGACCTTGGCTGACTATATCATGTACAGGGATGCTAGTCTTCCAGTTTTTACCGGAATTCCGGTTTTTTGCGTCCAGTTATAAAATTTTCTGGTACTATATTTTGTTCCGGAATTCTCGTTTTTAACGTGGTCGCGGACTGGACGAACGATGCGTCAGAGGAACGTCGCATTTCAACCATTGCGACAGAGCTGCGTTTCAACACAATATCTAGTCACAACCGTAGCACGTGATTTATTTATGGCGCTTGATTGGTTGGAAATGTAGGCTTTAATGTCGGCACCCATGTGGAAAGTTTTGACACCGCGTGCGCGGAATTTTGAACTAAACCAAACTAAATGGATTTCGCGGAGAGGGGAACAGACGATATTAG